CTGTGCACGACACAATACACAATAAAAACGATTACTGTGCACGACACAATACACAATAAAAACGATTACTGTGCACGACACAATACACAATAAAAACGATTACTGTGCACGACACAATAAGATTTACAATTCCCCGTGAAATTGAACGATGTTTTCTGATTAAGCGAAAAATTTAGTTTTACTTTGTTTATCTCGGCTTTTTACCTAAAGTTATTATTTTTACAAAACCTCCTCAGAGAATGGTTCAAAGCATCCCCACTATGGTAATATGGTAAAATAATAAAGAAACAAATATTTTCTAATTTACTGTAACATTGTTGATTTGAGACTTTTTCTTGATATTGTATGTTTTTAAAAGTATGTACTTTTCTTTTTCTATTAGGTTTCCAAGCACCGTCACAGGATCTAAAGTCAAATTGTGCCTAAGAAAATAGTTCATGTCATGTAACCCTATTATATACGGTGTTCGTTATACATAAGTGATGTGCATTCTATATACAGAGCTTTGGGCAAAAAGCTTAAAATGTAAAAACAGAACCTATAAAATGTATTACATTAAAACATAGTGTGTATGTTCTGTATGCGCTGAAGTATAATGTGTATGTTCTGTATACGCCAGGATATAGTATGTACGTTATATATATATGCACTAGAACATAATGTGTACGTTCTGTATACACTATGGTAATGTGTACATTCTGTATACATTAGGCCATAGTGTACATGTTCTACGTACACTAGGATATAGTGTGTACGTTCTATATACATTATGTCACAGTGTATGTGCCCAGAGTTAGTTAAAAATGTATCATCCTACCTTTATTAAATGTTATTTTAAAACGGGCAGAGCGTGTTAGAAGACAAAGGAGAAAATGTATATTTATGTTTAAAAGAAAACATAAATTAAGATGTGGATGCTTGTCAGCTAACTATGAAGAAGGAGGAATAATTTTTCACACTTTCTCAAAACCTTGAAATAAACGAACAACGGGAGTATTCTAATAAGAAGCTAAAATGGTACACTTAACCCTTTTTTGATATGATTGCTAATGGCAATGTCTATTGAAATAAGACTATCTGTCGACAAAATATATGACTAGTTCGGTATGTCTGCTGTTGATTCATATGTATTTAATGAGTTTTTCTTGTTACATCTGTAGTGGCGCTGTTGTATGAAGTCCGAATATATTCCTTCCCGTGTAAATCAGTTTCATTCAGATCAAACGAAAAACTATTTCTTGTCGTCATACAAAGATCATAGATGAAATATGTTACCAGTATGCAACTTCAATGTTAAGGAGTTGTTGTGAATTTTAGGAAATTATTCACTATGAATATGACAATATCAATAAATCAGTTTAACTGTCCCCTAATCACAACATTTTTATAAACCAAATCACAAAGAAAATTGTCGTTTTTTGCGCTAAAAGTATTACATTTAATGTGATTAACAATTGAATTTAGCAATAGAAAAAGACGTTGCTTCTCAAATACAATTAACTCTTTATGCTTAGTTATAACATCAATTTTTTCTGATTATTTAGATGTACCCGCTTAATGTTGGAAAACATTAAATAAAGCAAGGTCATTAATTTTTAATTAATTTGTTTCTGTTCAAAGCTACAGGGCGGTTGTAAAAAATCCTCATTTAAAACAATTATATCATACAACTACTTTCCTCGAGGAACGAACTTTCACATTCTGAGAATGGTGTTTTATTCAGGAAAATTTGGTATAGGATACTTTAAAACCATATTATACCACATATCTAAGTCGCATTACTTATGATATAGGGTACTTTAAAACCATATTATACCACATATCTAAGTCGCATTACTTATGATATAGGGTACTTTAAAACCATATTATACCACATATCTAAGTCGCATTACTTATGATATAGGGTACTTTAAAACCATATTATGCTGCATACCTAAGTCGTATTACTCACAGGCTGGTGTTGCTTTTATTTCTTTTATTCCTCTCTCTCTTTCAAAAATGCGATGTTGGCGATTTAAATGAAATGCATGACACTGTACAGGATCGCACAGTTGTTGTTCGACTATGCAATCAAAGCATTGCACCAACAGATGTTTGAGTGTGAGGATCATTGATCACCATCCAGAACAGTTGACGTGTGCAGCTTCATTTAGAGATGAGTTTCCATACTGATTGAAAATGACGGAAAACGTACAGAGCACCTTTCTTTGAAACACCTTGTACAGTGTTAGAATTTTCATAAATATCACATGTTATTTTCAGTATACTTCTGGGTAAGTTTACTTCCTCTATAACAAGTAGTTTTTAAGATATAATCATTTTAAATATTGTGTTTTCTTTACAATCATCTTGAGTTTCGGATGATACGAAACATTGATTTTGGCTTACTCTTTCTTCGATAACACAATAATAGGTAAAACAATATTTGTATTTTATACATACGTAAACTATAATATATATATATATGTAAAACAGTAAAAGATGATATAGTTTTTAAACGGTCTTTGCAGACCAATAATTATACCTAAAAGCTGGTTATCTTGTAATAAAAGTATGGTTATGTCCTTATAAATGTGTGTGTTGAAAAGAGCAGTTTTTTAAATAAGTACAACATACCAAACAAAAAATGAAAACTACATAATTTTGTTGGTATTTCATATTTAACAGTCGTGTAATTTTAAGATTTGCTTTAAACAGTTATACAAATACTATACTTATATAATGTTTCAGAAATATGGCTGTCTATAACGAGGTTAGCGACATGAGTTTTAGTGCCGACTCTTGTGAAAGTGGTAAAGATAAAGAAAAAAAAACATTAAATAAAACGCAATGAAAAAAATACAATAAGCTCACTAGTGGCGCAAAAGAAAAGGCTAATAAGCTCAAGGAAAAAACAAATGAACTTTAAAAAAACATAAGCTTTATAATGTAATTGATTTTTACACCCAAGAGTATAGAACTCAACCCAAGTGTCGTCGTCTACTATGGAAATCGAAACATACTTGAAGAGCGAATAATTTGGTTCTGCTCTAAATCATGTTTCGAAAACTCTTAAGCTTCATAAAGACTACATCAAGGGTTACTATCGTCTTGTTGGTGCATATATGTCTGTAGGAATATTCAAGCTGGCGTTAAAAGATTTTGAAACAGCTACAAAAGCATGTCCAAATGACAAAGATGCCAAAATGAAGTTCCCAAAGAATAGTAAGATTGTTAAGACGATGACATGTGAGAAGGCAATAGTATTGGGTGGCTGTAGGAAGTCTCTAGCAGTTGCTATAAACCCAAAAAACATATCCATAGAGAAATATTATAGAAAACCTCAACTTAAAAATGGAAAATTACACGAAGGTTTAATTAAAAAAACACGCAGAACTTCAAGAATGGCAAAAAACATTTGCTTTTGAGAAACGTTTTAGACGTAACCAATTTTTGATATCAACATACCAAACATGGGCAGTACTATGACCTTCTGAAAATTTTGAATTTCTAATGCTATAATAATTGATCAAATTAGTACTTTAAAACCTAGTTATGAAAAAATTAGAAAGGAAGGCTTAATCTTACCACATGTTCCAGATTTAACTACTAGTTTATTTAAAGTGTTCAAAAAACAACAGATATTCTACCCTATATTTAAACCGATAAATAAGATGAATCAAATCTTAGGTACTACAAAAAACGAAATACAGTTAACTGAAAAAACTGGAATATATAAAATTGAATGTGAATGTGGAAGTATTTAAACTGGTCAGACAAAACGTAATCTAAAATACAAGAAACACAACACACAATATTATGGGAAAAAAAACTGTAATATTAGCTCAACCTAAAAGTATAATAGGTAATAATATTCGTGAATCCTTAGAAATAATAAAACATAAAAAAGATCATATAGTACTAAATAGAGATGAAGGTATGGCGAATATTTCTGCAAGAAAGTGGACTGATATCCTGTTAATTGGTTTAGCGTGAATTTAAGTGAAATAGCATACAGGTCAATGACCTACTAACAAGTTATAAATACTTTAGCATTATCTTGTAATTCACTCCTCAGGATGAAGTTGCAACGTCGAAACATATAGAGTTGTCAACTTTATGAAGGCCATAGATAGGCCTAAATAAAATGTTTTTAATTGTGTACCAATTTTAACTTTGAATATTATTTATGATGTTAACTTTATACACAAGTGCCAAAACACAATAATTCTTTATCCATGTCCAGAGGAAATCTCAAAAGTCAGACTGTGAATCACATGTATGAAGTCGAAGGCAAAATATTAATCTTAAATAGCAGATCTCTTCCCAAAAGTCTTCAACACACTACCTTTAGCTCTGTGTGGTCATAACAGAGTTTTGATTATGCAAGGAGGATTAGTTCATCAGGATGATGTTACATTAGGTGAAATACGGAAAGTTGGAAGAAACAGACAGCTAACAAAGGAAGGTATTATGTGTGAACTATTGTGGTCAGGCTCATGGCCAGAGAAAGGTCGTTTACCAAGAAGTCTGAACCAATTGTGACTAAGGTCACCAAGGAATAAAGTTTGGATCAGTTGTGACTGAGAAGATCCTTGATCACAATACGTTTGAGTACATTATTAGAAGTCATCAGGTTAAACCAGAAGGTTCTGAAATCGCTCACTGTTTAATTGTTTTCTCAGCACCCAGTTATTGTGAGACAATGAGGAATAAAAGTGCGTTCATGACGATTGAAGACAAGACCCCCAAGCTGAAATTTCTCACATACGAGACAGTGCCTCATCAAAATGTGAAGCTTATGGGAGCAATGTGCTGGGGTTTATTTGATCCAGAAAATAAATGTAGGAAATAAATAAATTAATTAAACATAGCTATACAAACGACTGTTTCAAAGTATGAATCATTAGTTTGAATAGAAGACCTCAAGGGATCCAATAGAAATATTACTATACCAGTGTATTGTGTTCAAGAGAAGATTTATTTTGATCGGTACAGAATTTATGACATTAGGAACTTATTAAAACACTAGAACGAATGTACGGGTATGACTATAGATCTTGGTGGGATTTCATATTGCAATAGGTTTAATTCAAACCATGCTATACGTTTAATATGTGTTGCAATAAAATTAGTTGACATATTATCCACTATATCTAATTAGCGATGAATTCAGGGCGAAAAGGTTTAAAGCGTTTGCTCCAAACTTCTCGTTCATTTGACTAACAGACATATTTCTATATGCATAGTTTCTGATGGAAAGTGTTTCTTAGACTTGATGTAGATAAACTCTTGAAAACTATTTTTCTTGACAAATAATAATAAGAATTAATTTTAAAACTGACATATGTTTGTGCGCGTGTCCAACATACTGAATCTCTTTAATTTCTTTTGGTTACACGTCCACACCTGTTAGTATATAATGTTTAATATGAGGTATAATTATAATATTACCAGTCTATAATGTATCCTATTACATTATATAGTTGCTCCGACGTTGCTTGAAGAACTGCACTCAAATCTATTTTGGAATAAGTATCACACTTCTACAGCATAGCGAGCATTAATAAGACTAACATAAAATGCCTCTACTCTGTAACGTTGTTCAAATTCCCCCTATGATTCAAATATATCGATCAAGCACCCCAATTATCCTCATTTATTTGTATAACTACACCAAGGGACGGGGGGTCCATGCCCAAAAACAAACTCCTTTAGGACACCACACATGGTTTCCGAGGACATGGTCACGTTTGGTCTCCCTAACTTGTGAGAGGGTGTGTGAATACAGTTTCAAACATGTCGCCTCCGGGATCCTGAGGGTTCCAGGAACACAAAATCATATGCCAGATTCGGGTTCAGCGACCCTGAAAACATTCTCCTAGACCTCCATCATATCTAGGTGACCTTTCAGGAGCGTTTTAGCTCCCATTATTATGGGGCTACACAATATAAATAAAAACACTCCGAGTTCGCCTACCAAGTTTGATTCTGCTAGATTTATAACCGTGGAAAGAATTTGCGGGGAAATAAACAAACAAATACATTCACACACAACGTGAATTAGTATAGAATCTATTGTTATCCTTCCATTACCTGTTTTGGAACAATTATCAAGAATACCACTGTTGTTGGATAACCCACTCTTTACTTTAGTCTATAATTACCACAAAAGACGTGTCTTTAGAAATTATACTAATTATTTTATAGCCATAATGATGGCTTGTTCTAGAAAGCATCAACGTGGTCTGTCTAGTCTATTTGTACAGGTTATGGTGAGGAAGTCACATTTCATAGCTAGAGCATTTAACGTATATAAACATTGTTATAACTGGACAAATAATTGAAAAATTATCAGAATTTCTAATATATTACTAGGAGAAAATAAAATTAGTTAAAAATAATGTTAATCATCCCTTATTTCATTGTTATACAAATCGGCCATCTTATGTTCTCATGTAATCTGAATGATAAATAATTAACACTTCAGATCACATATCGAATTATTCATCAATAATTTTTCATACTTGAAATAAGCATGATATAGTTAAGATATTCGAAAAACGTACGTTTAAGGCGAATAATCATTTCTTTATTTAATAATAATTATCAATACAAACACACATACACACACACTAAATGCTAAATTGTGCATTACTTGAGACTGATCCCTTACACTATTAGCTTTCCAATTGAGAATCGTATTTTATCGAACTTAAAGTAAACCAGCGAGTTCCAATAATGGTTAAATAAGTGGAAAATGAACTAGTGTTTAGCCACTTTAAAATGTTAGAACTACATAATAAAACTACCAACTATCCATCTGATCAAAGGGATCTGGAGAACTGGGTATACATATATATATATATTCAATAATTTTACATAAACCTTTAAATCGCAGGAAAGTTTTGCAATATGAACGGTGATTTCAACGTCTGTGCAAGTTTAAGGCAACTTGACCCTCCACGTTGTTCGCAGAATGGACAAAACCCGCGTTTTCTCTGAAGTATCGATCTAAGGCAGGGTGATAACACCACGAAGCATTCCCACTGTATCATTATTATATCTATAAACTACACTTTTGTCAGTAAAATGTTCTAAAAGGTTATTTTACTGAAACAAATAAATCATTCTTACGACAACATTTATAGTTTTTGAATAAGTCTCTGACAAAACTGGCTTTCTAGTAGATAATTTAACTTGAAGTTCTTTAGACTTTATATTGTAGAGTTCGTAGTTATGGATGAAGGTGAGATGAGTTATCTGTTTCATTTTACTTACAATTTGGTCATTCTAAGTTTCTTACAATCCCAGAGTCGAAAAATGTCTTTAAGTATTTACTGCCAGGTTCTGGTGATCAGAAACCAATTGTTTTCTTGGTTAATAGCCTATACAATCATCTAATATAATTACTGATTAGTTATTTTTTGTTACAATTACTAGTTATTTTACTATTATATGTTAATTTGCTGTCATGAGATGAACTTAATGCAGTGGTGAAGAAGCCGGAATATTCGATCCTGTGTTACGTTATTCTCTTGTCCAGGCTTTCATTTTGTTAGAACTAATTTGAACCAACTATCCGTTAGTGTG